GCTCTTATATGTTTTATTTGTATACATTACTTTTATTTCATAGTCATCTTTCTTTAACTTTAAGGCTACTGTGAATTAAAAAAATAAGTTTTATTTTTGTATACTTCTCTACTGTATATATATATATATGCTTAACATTTACAAATGATATGCAATACCCCAAAAAAACAAGGGTTTTATGTAAGATTATAACAACTTATATAAAAACAAAGGCTACACTAATACTGGCCTACAAGTAGCAATTGTAAATGTACACAGAGATATGGAAGATACAGTATATTGAGTAAAAAAATAAGTCAGTCAAAAGTAAAGAGTGGTGTTGGAATGTGGTGCATAAATAATAAGTTGTTATAAGGCGCGTTCACACCGCAGTACTTTTCCCACTTTAGTTCCGATATAGTTCTGAAACGTTGCGTTCACACCAAAAAAATCCAGAACTAAAATTAGTTAATTATGAGAACCTTGTTTTACCCCCTTTTCCGTCCCTGCTAGAGAGCAGGGACTTTTGTGGGAGAAAAAGGTTCCTATTTCTGATTGGCTGGGCGGATTGCAAACCACGCCCAGTAAAACTCCCAAAAGGTTTTGTGAAGCCGCCATTTTATTATCCTCGCATTAGCATTATTAGCATTAGCCCAGCGCACAAACGCAGAGAGACTAATGGCGCATTTCCACTACACGGTCGGCCTCGGCCACACTCGGTACGGCTCGGTACGGCTTGGCCGCGTTGGGCCTTAACAGGGCCGACTCACTTCATGCTGCGCTTCCATTACAGTTTAGGAACTGGGGTAGTTACTATAGTAACGCAGTGTAGGCGGAGCCGTGACGTCATCTTCAATGAGAAATCCAGAAACACAACACAGCCGTTAGCTGTGAGCACTCAGAGCTCACAGCTCCTTATATATGTTCAGAAACTCGACAAAAGTTAAACAAGTACACACCACAGACTGCCTGTGTCATGGTGAATACAGTCGCTGCCTTATTTATGTCTGTATAGGCCGTTGTTGTGAGTGTGGACGGTCGGGGCATATACTGCGTTAGCTTAGCCAATCTCCATCTAGAAAAAACACGAATTTTAAAAGGTTTTTCGCCTGCCGTCTGTCTGCAGACTTGACAAAGCATTAATTCATGGTTTTTACTAACCGGTATCAGTATGTTGTTACTTCGGCATCATTTTGAAACGTGTATTACAATTAAATCACGGTCAAATATGTCCATCTTGTTGTAGTTCTAGCCCTCTTGCCAGCGCTCCTCTCTCTAGTTTAGCATACTCAGACCGACTCAGCCCTGTTTGTTGGCCCCGATAGAACCACAATTTTCTAGGGCCAGAAAAGAGGGGAAAAAGTGGCCCCGCGCCGTGCCGCGCCGGAACGAGGCCTAGTGGAAGCACAACCAAAAAAGGGGACGGCACGACACGGCACGCTTAAAGCGAGCTACGCGCTGCAATGGAAATGCGCCATAAAGCCCTTGCCACACGAGGACGATAACGGTCGTATCTGCTACAGTTCTCTATCAGATAGACGGTTCGGCCACACGAGGCCGACACGGAAACGCAGAAAACGATAACGATAACGATAACGGGTCCCTAGGTGGGTAGATCTGCAAACGAAACGCTCTGGGGGGGCAAACGGCTCCGTGTTTACGCCTATACGAATATGATCATGTCCTGATAACGATGACGCAATAGCCCCGCCTCTCCCCACCTCTCCTGCTCAGAGATCAGCTGCTGGGCTCTCAGAAGAGGGGGAGGAAAAGAGAGGCTCCGTTTTTTATTCTTATATTATTATATAGAGTCGTTATTAATTTGTTTTAAAGCTCAATAAATAACAAAGAAGACATCTGACCGGCACTTTTCTAATTTTGTCCGGAAGATTTAAACTTTAACGGACATGTTGACCGGCGAAAAAAAATCTAACTGAAACTCTGCCGCACGGTTCCCTCGTCCCTTGGAAGAGGCGGAGAGGTGGGTGTTTTTCATCTGCTGGTGGACTACCGGAGAGTAGGAGCAAACGCTTGTCTCGGGGAGGGAGAAAAAGAGCCAGAGCGTCCACAGCGGAGAATAAACAGAAGGGCAACCATGCGCGGGAAGTCTTCTTCACTGCTTTTGTGCAGGACTACAGCGCCACTTACACCGCGTCCACACGGCGGCGTGCGTTGAAGCTTGCCGGTGAGCTTGTCTGAAACTCGACCAACAACCAATCACATGAATCTCCCGCCCCGGACACACAAGCACGCGGTTTGATTGGCTAGAGCTTGTACTGGCATATGATTTGATTGGCTGACGCTTCCGCCGAAGCTTCAAAAGTTGAACATTGCTCAACTTTTGAAGCGAGCAAAGCGAAGCAACGCTCCCACAATGCAGTTCAGCAAAGCGTAACGTCACCCCATTCAAAGTGAATGGGCAGAAGCGTTGAAGCTTCAACGCACGCCGCCGTGTGGACGTGCCGTTACAGGCCTGGCATATGTACTACAGCGTCTCCAGCGCTTTCGAGTGGTCTCGTGTGAACGGACACGTTTCTGGTGCCTGTTGCGTGTGGACGGAAGACTTTTTTGATAACGATTGCAGTCCGTTTGCGTTATCGTCCTCGTGTGGCAAGGGCATAACTTATGGCAACACAAAAGAAAACATGGGAGCGGTGGAGATGAGGAGGTGTCGGCGTTCTGGCGATTTACACGGAAGGCTTCAGTAGAAGCTGCTGGGAGTCCCAACAAGCCAGTCCCCAACTCCGGGGACTTCCGGCCGGGGACTTCGGGTGGCAGTATACGGTTCTTATTATACATCCATGATGAGTATATGCCGTGAAGTTGTTTGCGGCCTGCCAGTAAACCCAAAGTAGAAGAAGAAGAAGAAGTGACGTCAGCGGCTTTATTTGCCTAATCCTCCCTCAGGGACTTATTCCGGTGTGAACGCGATCTGTACTTAGTTCATGAGAACTAAAGAGTTCTCATGAACTAAGTTCTGATGAACCAATTTGTGGGAAAAGTACTGCGGTGTGAAAGTGCCTATAGTTTGGAGAAAATGCTTTTTATTTTCTTTATAGGAATATTATAACTGTTGGGGACAATTAAGCTGTTGTCAATAATATGACTATTATGCTTCACTCAGCTTGAAATAAATAAATGAATAGTAAATTACAAACATAAAGTTCCAATTTATTCTAATCCTATTAAAACAGTTAGTACAGTATTCCTAAATAGATATTTTTCCTGCAGCAATATTTTCCTCTATGTTGTTTTCCCATGGTAAAACACACAGACATTGTTCCTTTGATAAGCTCAACCACAACATTTGTGTCCATGCTGTCTTTTTCCATTTCCTGTGTTCTTTCTTTCTTGTTTGCCGAATCTACGGGAGCCAAACTATTCGGAGTAGTGATGTGTAATAAGAGTTATTACTGAGCTGCAGGTGTGAAATAGAAGCCATCGGACAGAGGCACCTGATGCACACATTTGAATCCGCTCACCATTATTTATCTTGTTAGCACAAATATTGCATCTTACGGTGACATGTCATCTTTTAGAGCAGTCTTTCAAACGTATGACCCCATGCCCTCATTTGCTCACTTTCTCCACTTGTCGTGTTGGAGAATTGCCAGCAGAGGGCGGTGCCGCTTTCAAGGTTATTTTCATTTCCAAGACCCTTTTTAAACCTGGTTTAAATGTCTCTTACTCAATTGAGCTTTTGATTTGTTTTGATGTTGTTTTCCAAGTGAATAGGACAAAAATATGCAAAATGCATTACAACATGGCATATTCCTTCTGTGTGTTGCTTCTCAGCTTGACAAGGTGTCCTAAAGCAGGTCGCGGCAATTGATATTCGAGATGTATCTTCCTTATCTCTGTCTTTTTAAGATGTTTGGAAAATGTTATACCACCAAGTGGCACTGAAATCGCTTTGAAAAACATTTAGGACTGATAATCCACTGAGAAACACAACAAATAATTAAACATCCAAGCAACTGCCAATTCCTTTTAGGAAGAAGTTGTATCTTTGATGATTTGTGTTTATCTGCCAGCTAGATACAAAAATGGCCTCCAGCTAGAATATCTCTATCTTGAGAATACCCTTCACTCATGCATTGTGGGACATCATGTGGGTCATGCTACATTTTTCTAAGAGGACACTGGCCCATTTTAAAGAAAGTCTTGCAAATGTCACATGGCTCAGTTAGACGCTTGAGGATATAAGGTCTCATCATCAGCCACCAACCACGAGATCACAGGGAAGAGCATAAACACTGGGAATTAACAAAGAGGATTTCTGAAGCAGTAAGTGACTCATGGAACGACATGGATAATCTGCTAATTAGTGATGCACTATCATTTGTAAGGACGCCTGAATGTCAGAAAGTTTGATTTGCTCTTTTCAACACTGTCTGAATTGCAGAAAACCCAAACTGGATGGTTTAATAATTAAAATGCTGAATGTCAATGATGTTCTTTGTTTAAATGGAGATATTGTTTCTTTTAGCATTGCATCAACAAGTGTTAGTTTTTTCTTTCAGCCCGCCCACCCCTCTGTCTCTTCCCATCTCCCTCTCTGTATTGGATGTTCTGCCCTTGCGCTCAGTAAGTCCTTTGTTCGGCAAAGCATCCCTCACATAGCTAAATGCTTCACTGGAGACAGTACCCACTAGCACCTAGTTTGTAACAAGACAGAGAGTGTTTACTTCCTAAACCACCAAGGAATGAAGAGTTGGGAGCAAGTGAAAGAGGATGGATTGGTAAGTATCAGTAACACAGGAGCGGAGTAATGAAAGCAGGGTGTTTTTGTACATAGAATATTTGCAACTATTTCTAATTGCAATGTGAATCCTGATACCTTCTCAAAACAGATCAACGATGACCTCCTGCATTCTTGTAGCTAGCTATCCTCGCAGTGCATATCAGGCATGCCTCATGGTAAGAAGTCCTATTGAGCTAGGGGTGTCTGATTAATACCACTACTGTAAAGGGCTTTCATTGTGGGCTGAAACTCGAGGCTGGTTACCTGAGCTCCTAGGATGACTCTCCGCACGCCAGCTGCCCACCTACGGAGAGCTCCGAGCTGGAGGAAATCCGGAGATGAGTCCTACTGGGAGAGCTTAATACCAGAAGGAGAGGCTTTGCCCCGGGTTTCTCGTCCACCACGGCCCCAGAGTGCCATTGAAGGACGACAGCTGGACGGCTGGCTGGAGCACCTACAGAGAATAGAGAGGGAACTTCTCAGAGCCCCAGTTCATGATCAGGTTCCAGCTTTCAGTGATCGGACATCATCCATGCCTGCTCTCCATAAAGAGGCAACCGGACGTGCCTGGAGACAGCCAGGGATCCCCTCTTTCAGCAGGGGTTCATCTTCATGTGGGAGTCCCAGTCGGTGTGAGAGTTCGCTGGGCAGCCAGGAGTCCCTCCAAACAGGGTTTATTTCTCCTCCAGAGCACATAGGAAGCTGGGAGAGAGCTCATATGATGCAGGCACCAAAGAAGGAGCAGGCTCACCTCAGTAATATTGCTCCAGTCAAAATTGGGTGGCTGCCAATCCAAAGAAGAGTGATGATGGTGGCTGATGCTTGCCACCAAAAGTTTTCGGACCAATCTGTAGGCCAGGTAAAACACACAAAACCTAACCAAAGCTTTAACATATATTCAGAAAGATTTCTTAAAGAATATTGAGTAAAACAGTGACACCCGTTGCCTTTTAAAAGGAAGGAAGTAACCAATTATATTTGATTATGCCTCCCGTCTTTAATATAAGATATATTTTGAAGCATTCTTCCCTCAAACATTTGTTCTTCCATGTATCAACCTTTTAAAATGTGCCTTTCAAAGACCCTGAACTTATTTACCCTGGACTTTGTACTAACATCCTCTCAGGCTGTGTGACTTTCGTTCTGACTTGTCAGTGACACATTGTAAGCTCTGTAAGTCTGAAGGTAAAGCAGTGTGTAATGGAGGTGATGGTGCGTAGTACCAGGCAAGGCCCTGACTCAAACACACAGTGCTACACAGAGAGCCATTTGTAGTCAAGTCTCAGTTACCCAGGGAGAAGGCATAGCTCAGGCATCCTTTGAAAACCGCTTACTCTGCAGGAACTACACACATTCTCTAAAGGTTTGCGACTCATTTGGAGCTGTGAGATTGAGCTTTGTGCCCTGAGAGGATGCAAGTCAATGTACATAGAACATTCAATGGGAGTAGAGGCTATTATCCAGTGAACAGATAATATGATTTTCAAAATCGATAAGTTGCTGTGCTGCAACCTGAGCACTGACTTCGCTATTATGTGTCAGTGCCGGTGTTGTGTCAAATTATGCACCCCCGTCATGAAATGCCCCCCTTGTCACGGGAACGCGCATTGCTAAATGACACGTTTACACCTTAAAACGATGTTTAAAACGAAAAGTAAACGTTCAGGGTTTTTATTAATGGTAATTTTCAGACTGTGAGTTGTTTAGTGGTAGCTCATATAGTCTTGATTCTTGTGGTTAAACTTTTCGCTCCATATTTGATGGTAGTGGTGTCGAAATTCATTTGTCACTTCCTTGTTTTTTTTAATCTTTTTTTTTTTCTTATTATTGTTACGTCCTGTCTGTAGGTTGGGTGGGGTGCATTTTATGACAGGCCTGGTTATCACAATATGCCACCCCTTGCTATCTTACAAAATAAAAGTGTCACATTCATGAAACTTGCTCCATTCATTGGTACTAGTCCTACAACTATACCCTGAAAACTGCTTGACGGTGGGAATAATACAAACATCTTTTTGGGTGGGGTGCATTTTATGACAGGCCTGGTTATCACAATATGCCCCCCCTTGCTATCTTACAAAATAAAAGTGTCACATTCATGAAACTTGCTCCATTCATTGGTACTAGTCCTACAACTATACCCTGAAAAATGCTTGAGGGTGGGATTAATACAAATATCTTTTTGGGTGGGGTGCATTGTATGACAGGCCTGGTTATCACAATATGCCCCCCCTTGCTATCTTACAAAATAAAAGGGTCACATTCATGAAACTTGCTCCATTCATTGGTACTAGTCCTACAACTATACCCTGAAAAATGCTTGAGGGTGGGATTAATATAAACATCTTTTTTTAATATAAACATATTTTTGACATCCGAGTCAGAAATAAAACAAATATGGAGTGAGGGCTAGTCCTGCAATTGTCCAACACATTTACATACACACAGTAATTAATAATACATGTTGAATGAAATAAAGAAATAAAGTGACATATTATCCATACTAAAATTGTGTACATTATCACACATAAAATAAACATTCACTCCAAAATAATCCAATATTGTTTTAACTCATAACCTTTAAATTACAACAGGATTGTTTGGTCATTATTTTGGAGTGTTTTGGAGATGGAGATAAATCATGGGTCAAAATTGACCCGCGAACACCATGAACGGTAACAGCTTTCGAACACAACACAAGGGTTAAAGATGAATATGATATGTTGTTCACACTGACTTTGATTGCTTACCATGTCACTGGACTCTAATCTTCAAAATGAATGTTTCATAAAATGCACCCCCCCCCAAAATATGTTTATATTATTTCCACCCTCAAGCATTTTTCAGGGTATAGTTGTAGGACTAGTACCAATGAATGGAGCAAGTTTCATGAATGTGACACTTTTATATTGTAAGATAGCAAGGGGGGCATATTGTGAAAACCAGGCCTGTCATAAAATGCACCCCACCCAAAAAGATGTTTCTATTATTCCCACCCTCAAGCATTTTTCAGGGTATAGTTGTAGGACTAGTACCAATGAATGGAGCAAGTTTCATGAATGTGACACTTATATTTTGTAAGATAGCAAGGGGGGGCATATTGTGATAACCAGGCCTGTCATAAAATGCACCCCACCCAAAAAGATGTTTGTATTAATCCCACCCTCAAGCATTTTTCAGGGTATAGTTGTAGGACTAGTACCAACGAATGTAGCAAGTTTCATGAATGTGACACTTTTATTTTGTAAGATAACAAGGGGGGGGGCATATTGTGATAACCAGGCCTGTCATAAAATGCACCCCACCCAAAAAGATGTTTCTATTATTCCCACCCTCAAGCATTTTTCAGGGTATAGTTGTAGGACTAGTACCAATGAATGGAGCAAGTTTCATGAATGTGACACTTTTATTATGTAAGATAGCAAGGGGTGCATAACGTGGCAAAAATATGCTGACAAAGACTATGTAACATTTGTAAACATATATTTTGATTATTATATGACAAATATGTAGAATTAAACAATACATTTTAAAGCACGTGTATACAGACAGGACGTAACAATAATAACAAAAAAAAAAGATTAAAAAAAAAAAAAACTGAAAAGGAAGTGACGAATGAATTTCGACACCACTACCATCAAATACGGAGCGAAACGTTTAACCACAAGAATCAAGACTATGGGTGTTTCTCAATCGCGAGTAAAGCTTCTTCAGAGCCACTATTTCAAGCATACTACGTCATCGAGTGCCGCCGAAGTACTGTTCCAATCTCCAGTATACTTGGAAATCTACCGAGCCCGGCGTACTCCGTTTGGAGAAATATCGAGTCTGCACATGAGTAGACTTCGCGGTCTTAAAATCCCCACAATGCTTTGCGCACGGACCAATTTCCCCAAATCTGTGGCGGAAGATGTAAGGCGGGGCCTCTCATATGACGCACACCTGCACACTTGCTAGCGTGTTCCACACTTCGTTTTCCGAATGCCAGGAAGTATTCTTGACTCGCTTCTGAAGCAAGATGCTCGGCAGACATGTGCTACCAAGCAAGCGTACTCGCGATTGAGAAACACCCTATATGAGCTACCACTAAACAACTCACAGTCTGAAAATTACCATTAATAAAAACCCTGAACGTTTACTTTTCGTTTTAAACATCGTTTTAAGGTGTAAACGTGTCATTTAGAAATGCGCGTTCCCGTGACAAGGGGGGCATTTCATGATGGGGGTGCATCATTTGACACAACACCGGGATTTTTAGGGGATTTTTAAGGACAGGAAGTTTATTTAAAAAAATGGGTGAATGATATTCATGAGCCCTGGTTTATGTTCTAAGGAATAGCTTGAAATTCTGGGGAAATACACATTGCTCTCTTAGCTGAGAGGTCAATCAGAAGATTGATAACACTCATGGCTGTAGCGTAGCCTATACGAAATATCTTGTACCCAATTAGCGTAGCTTTGCACAAAGACTAAAAACAAGGAAGAATAACATATGGGGATAGCTAGCGAGTTTTTTTAATTGGTTTACACAAACAAGATACAATCTTTTAATTAGTGAGTATTAGAGTTTGTCTTATATGTTTTGTTACCTTCAGGAAGAACCAAGCTATCATTTTCCATGTTTTCAATCTTTGTGAGAGGCTAAGCTAACAGGCTGCTGGCTTTCTATTTATATTAGCTCCATATTTACCATCAAACATGAGAGTGATGTGATTGTGTGATGTAAATGCGAGAATGAAAGTGAATACGTGTGTTTAAAAATATTACACTTTTCTTTCTAATGGGCTGTTTCTTTATAGTTGAAATTGAAACAAGCCATCACTCCAACCTTTCAGAAGAATCGAACAGCAGCCAACAGGCACCATGGTATGTAAGCTCTTGATTTTTGCTGTATGTGTTTACAATAAAAAATAGAACTGCAGGGTTTTCAGTTGAGTAATATCACTCGTTTGCAATCACTGTCCCCACGTACACACACAAAGCCTCACACACACTTGACCTCCATACCAAATTTCAGCATCCTGGGTCGAATATTGTGGTAGCTAGAGGCTGGGGAAATTGTTGTGGACATATTACAAACCAACAGAGCGAACTATAGTGCCGGACGCATCCTAAAATAATTTCCTAATACTAATCAAATCTCCATTATGCAACACTGATTGTTATGTAAAAGTTGTACCTTGAAGAAAAAGGTCAAACATAATTAAAAAACATGAAGTTATTCTCTTGCACAACAGAAAATTGCCTGAACACCCAAAGGTTCCATTTCAATGGATGTTTAGTGCCTGATCAGTGCAAGAACAAATATGGCCGAGGGGTAACTGCAGGGGCTGGGTTGGCTAGAGGGAGAATAAAAAGCTTATTTCAGGGCTGACTAGCTATATAGTTTACCTGCCTCTAATCGGCTCCATGCAGCCCCTGTCCTCTTTAAAGAGTTCACACTGTAAGTATGAACACTTTAAACAACCTTCTGCTCCTAAAATAGAATCAATTTCAAGTACAACGTCCTGACTGTTGTTCCAGTCTTTAGGCAGGATTTCAGGTAAAGGAAAGGCGCTATTAGGTGAGGGAAAAGAGAAGGAAAGGGAGGCGGGGGGAGGCAGAAAGATACGGAGAGATGCAGACTGATTGAAGAAGGAGCCCTGTTAATCTTTGAACATGGCAGGCCCATAGTCTCTGAGTTTGATCTGAGGTTTGATCTTTCAGCCCTGTCCTTGTTTATACCAGAGATTATCCTGGCAAGGCTCGGGCTGCCTGCAGAATTCAAAGCAATCTATCCATGGCAGCAAGGAACTCATTATTAGTTACATACACAGGCTGTGAGATAGGATGAAAAGTGTCATCTACGTATAAAGTGTAACATAATGTCATGCTAGGTCTGATTATTTATTCATCAAGCCTTATGAAGCATGATAGCTTCTGTTCAACGCTTTAATAATAAAGAATAATTGAAGAAAAACTTGCATTTCACATGGAATATCTCCAGCAATGCCCTTAGATAAATTATAAATCTGATAGCCAATCAAATCGGCAATAGATGTCACATTTTGAGTTACTTCACAGTGAATAATTATGCTACTCAGGTGCATGTATCAAATTTGCCACGGCTGAAATCCCAGCAATGAGTTCGAGAAAGATGATCGACAATAAACAAACATTTCTATGCAGGCTTGCCTCCAAATATGTCTTGTTTCGGTGCTGGTTGCTTTTCCTCAGCTGTCAGTACATTTAAATCCACGATTCCACATCTGAAAAACAAATGAGACTATCAGAAATTCCTTCCACAATTCCTCCAACTAGCAAATTATTCCACCACTTTCTCATTCCTTTTCTCCCTCTTTCTGGTTCTTTCTTTCTGACAACCCTTGCAGAATCATACTTGAGGTCCATTTGCAGACACTCAGTGCCTTCTCTTCCACAAAAGTCACATTTACTGGACAAAATGGCCCCAATGTTAATGAACAGATGATAATAAAATTGGATCTTGTGCTCCAAGGGCCATCATGTTTAGACAGACTAGCCAATTTCCACCCTGCTCACACATACTCTTTAGATTCAACTTAATGGGGATGAGGAATAAATTGGGAGGGTTGTGACTTCAGAGGGTGTTTGCCATATGGTCCTGCTTCTTTATTTTCCGTCGGGATGTTAAGCTGCTGTTGATTCAGAAAAAAAGGTAATTCGAGCCAGGAAGTAATGAGAGAAGCTCTTTCTGGGGGCACAAGTTAATATGGGGCCCTTTACAAAGAAATAAATTAGATGTGATGGCAGCAAGTGGAACAATGTGAGTGAAAGACCAGAAGACCCCTATGTAGATACAACTCTTTGTTTTTCAGGTGTAATCACATTTTCAAAGTGGTGCAATTTTCACCTTGTCTCTTATTTTCTCACTTAAAATGAAAAACGGATTACCCACACAGCATTCGAGGGGTTATCCCAAAGTGAGAGCCAGTCGCCATGGTAACAGCAGCAGGTGGAAATGCAGCCAGACAAGCCGTCGGGCTGGCAATGGAGTATCAGTCAGGGCTGAGAGGCAGACCAGTGAAGTTGCCCGGCCTCCTGAGGATGCAGAGAAGTGGCTCTGGGGGTGGTGCTAGATTCACTTTACTGTGCCAACGTCAATTATTGACAGTGTCAACATTGACACACAGGAAGGAACGCCTAAGTTCTGTTTGTGTGTGTGTGAAAGAGAGCATGTCTTGTGAGCAATGTGACAGTTTGTTTTGCTTTTATACATAGATGGAGAGGTGGAAAGAAGTCACAACAGTCTAAGTGCTTTGGGTGTGAAGACGTGGCAGTCACCTGACCAAGAGTCTCACAAAATTCAACAGGTAACGTACGATTGTTTTACACTTTTTTTACATTTAGGTAGGATGATGACGGATATCAGTGGGTCTGTTTGTGTTGGTAATGCATAGTATGTCAGCCTGGACACTGAGGTGACATTAAGTCTTCTAATAGTAGTCTTATGCTTGATAACACCGTGCTCTTGTGCAAATGATTGTATACATTCTTTTTCGCAAAGTATAGAAGTTAGGTTGCTTATGTATTGATGTTGCTTATACTTATAGCATTTCTACAATGTTTATATATTTATTTTGTTATATATATAATAATAATAATGAAGTAAAGAGAATAGAAAATAAAGAAACTAAGGGCCTTATTTATATCCACAACGATAAAAAAAGTTGAAATGCACTCCTACTAAACATTTGTTGATACATACAATAGACAAAAGTTTTAATTTTCATTTGGACTTAATTTAGTCTAATTTCACTTGTCTCTGGGACACCCAGAATCCTAGATTTATCTGACCACTCACCTTTGCCAAAAGAGAGTCCAAGAAATGGCCGTAAATAATAAATGGTGCAAGCCATTTGTTTAAAAGCTAAGGGAAATTACATTGATTTAAAGTGTAGCATTCCGTGGGAAAAACTATGAAAACATATTTTCAGATTGCATTACTTACTGTACATTTAACCAAAACAATTAAAATATGCTCAATGGAACTTGGAACAAATGATAGAAAATATAGCAGGTCAAGCTTTGATACCTCTTTGGAATTGCTCATCAGTCCCTGAAATAAAAAGGATAACAAAAGACTTGTGATCAACATAAAGGCCGATGGCAGACTTATTTTCTCATGGACCTTATTTGCACAGATGTCAGAGTCTGTGTGCTGTCTGCCTGCTAAAAGCCTTTATCCAAAGCATTGCCAAATTAGACATTTTATGCAAATGAAAAACAAAGTCTAATTCTGGCCTTATGGAATATTTAACTGGTCTGAGTGGACTACATTGCCTGCAATTTTAATTATCACTTCCATAATCTCAAGTTATTAAATGAGTGCATTTGTTTACATTTGATCGTCATAGAGAAAATGTATCAGTGGACTGCTGCAAATATTTTAAATAGTTTACTACGGTACTGTACGCCTTTTCCAAACAGTTTACTCTCTATGATGAAAAGTATTCACCACAAAGTGTTGTGCAAAAGCATGTTCAGAGGAAAAATCCCATACTTTGTTTTGAAATGAGGTTTATGGAACAATAATGAATTAGGGATCAGGATGTTATGTTGCATCAGGGCAGTGGTGAAAAAAAAGTACTAAAATATTTACTTGAGTAAAAGTATCACCACAGTTTAAAATACACTGTTACAATTCAAAAGTACAAAGTGTTAGCATCAAACTTTTCTTAAAGAACAGAAATGGATCACAAAAGCACTTCCTTACAGCTCTTGAGAACATGTACTTGGTTACCATGCACCCATGCATCAGGGACAAATCCGTATTTCTTAATGTTCTAAAAAAACACCTTCAGAATCCTCTGGCCCAAGGACCGGAATCTGTGCATTTTTCTTGTTTTTCCATTTCTTTTTAAGATAGAGTCTCATTGTGCTTCTGTGAAGTCACGCTGTGTGCTGGCTTTGCCTCACTGTGTCAAGCATGGGGAGAGTCATCTGACTAAAGAACAAACAGCAAAGCCCTGAAGAAAGACAAGACAGCTGACCCGCCGTTGAAATGTTCTATTAGAGACATGTCATGTTGTCAATATGTCATGCCGTATCAAATTTAAGTTCTGCTTCATTTTCTGTACTTGCCACACAAGAGCTCAATTGACCAGATGAACGTACTGTACAGCATATGTTCTGCTGTGTTGATTAATGACTAAACATTTAGCAGGAGGCATTAGCAGAAACAGAAGGGTGGAATGGAGTTTCCATGCATAATTAAGTGTTTATCATTTAAAACCTCTTTTATCCACATGCTGCAGGTGCCAGAAAAACGAAGCTTTCCTGCTGCTGAAGGGGACAGACCTGTAGGCTGGCAAACTCTGAGGAGAGCCTGGAATACCAAGAGGGTGTCGGCTTTCCCTGGAGGCAGTCAGTCCAACGAGCCCCCCATAGGGACAAGCTCAGAAACCAACAGGAAGCCCCCTCTGATGAACTCAACCAGCATAGACCCCCACAAGCCTCCTCCTCCACATCGAAACACTTTTGCTGATCCCTGCAAACCACACACTCTGCTGCAAGGGACAAGCAACACCGAAACAAACAAGTCACACGCGCCTTTGCACAGGACCAGCAGTGTTCAGCCTATAAGGGCAACCCCCCCACTGTTCACCGCCTCACAGACAAACTCCGCGGTGACAACAATCATCCCTCAGAACAAAGCTGGCTTCTCCTCTATCACCATCTCTTCTAGGAAAGTGTGCAGATCATCTAGTTTGCCTGGCCGAAACCCCTTTTCCAACTCCCCTTCTCCACCACTAGCCCACCAACCCATGGACCCAAACTCCAGGCAGGTCACAGTGCAGAGGAAGGCCACTATAGTCAAAGTCACAGAGCAAAGGATGACTTCCGGGCCTGTCATGAATGCAAAAAGCACAACCTCACCAACTAGCCACGCTTTGGACACAGTGGTGCTCAGAAGAAAGGCTACCATCATCAAAGTGACGGAGCACACAGAGAGCTACAGTCCAGCCAAGGCAGGGGCCGGGACCCCGAGGCACCCGGAGTACAGACACAGCTACACAGAGGGAGTGTACAATGAAGACAGCATGTGGAGTGAGGGGAATCATTCACAACACACTTCACATCACCCTGTACAATCCACAAAGTCGCCAAACTCTGCTGTAGAAACAAATACATCCAACTTAAACGCAGAGCAAAATAGTGGGACGTTACACAGATCCTCTCTGGCGCTTTTTTTCAGCAACCCCCCTGCTATAGCAGCCCCCGAGGTTTCCCCAGAGGCTGTTGGACAGAGATCGGGCAGGCCTAGCAGACCACTGAGCTGCTATGGCAATATGTTTGGACACACTGAGCCAAGTGAAGACATTTTGAGACAACCAGCCATCAGGAAATGGAGCTTTGGGCTTCCACAAGAGACCAATATCAACCCTGTGAACTCTGACAGTGTCTTCAGCCGGCCGTCATCAGCAAACGAAGCACCAGACGCACCGAACGGAGGCCAGAAAGAAAGATGGCCGCCTGATAATTCAGAGAGGAGAGCGTCCCCCAGTCTGACTCTCATCCAGGCCCCGGGTAGGTTTCTCTGTCCCCCCCTTGACAGTCTTCCTGTCAGCACACAGGCTGCCTTTGTCTCTGATCTCCATTTTCAAAGGATGGCGATGTCTAAATATACATCTCCTCTGCGCCGTGTGTGTGTGTTCTAGCTTCAAGTTGTTGCACACCCTGCAGCGTTCTGGGGTTGAACTCTCAGGTTTGATATTGTCTTTCCAATGATGACTTATTGATAGGCGTTATAAGATTGTACTGGATTGTTCCTTTATCTGCTGCCTTAAGTGCAATTGACACATATCTGCGCCAATGTCAAACAGTATTGCTTTGACACAGAGGCCCATTGGTACCTACAAGTGTTCTCATTTTCACCTTCTTTCATTTCCCCCACGCATCTCTTTGCATGTATAATCTATTAGTCTCACTTTTTCGCTGACAGCACAGGGGAGGACGACAAAATCACAAGCTGCTAAACATTGTGAAAATAAAGCATTATGATTTGTTTGGCATCCAGATCCTGTGATGTACTGTAGCTATAACATTTAGGTTTATTTCTTTGTAATATTCTAGAGGGGACACAACTCTGTTGGCACATTTAGGGGCCAGTCCATGAAAGCTTTGTATTTCAGATGTAATGCTTGGTTTTTGGTTGTGGTTCGATAAACCAAAGCGAGTTTTAACGTAATGAGTTGTGTTCTACATTTTTGGTAAATAGACTTTCTCACGGAGAATTAGATAAGAAGATCGATACCTCTCAAAAATATTAAGAGTGCTATTGATCTTCCTATATAACTCTTGGCAAGAAAGTAAATACATTTATTAAATAAAATGTCAAATTTGATCTATTTAAAGTTAGAGGTAATTCTCCATCAAACAAATGCAGAGCTGTTTGAAAGTGTTATTGGTCAAGTTTTATCTCAAGCCTCAGTTATTACATTTAACATCAAGATGCAAGTTATTTTATTTAATGCTTCAGCTGAGCATTACATGAGAAGATGATGTTGTTGTGTTTATCTTTTGACACTCCAGGATAAAAAAAGAACTGGGAATTGAACGTTTTTCCATTAAGGTGGACCTATCATGCTATATTTGAATAATATAGTGTAGGACCATACCTAAATAAGGCATATTTATACTTTTTTTTTTTTCAAAATACCAAACAGATCATGCATTTTAGCCATGCCTCATTTTGCTCAATTTGACATTTTTTAGCTCTGTTTTTGCAAGGGCTGATTCAGTGAGAACAGCACCATCTACAGGCCTGGCATATGTACTACAGCGTCTCCAGCGCTTTCGAACGGCAATGGCCGTGGCTGTCTCCTCCTGATTGGTGGAGTTGGCCCTATAGCCGTAGCGCCACCGTCCTGACGTCAGGACAGTGTTCAAATCTGGATCAGTTTTTATCAGATCCGTTGCAGCCTCTTTTTTAGAGATTTGGGTATGGAGGAAAATAGAGAGGGTTGTGTTTTCTGACACTTGGTGAGTTCCCTGGAACACCGGGGACACATATTCATGTATAAAAGACGTACAAAAGTGCATTTTGCATGATAGGTCCCCTTTAAGTCTGAACTCCTCATTTGGGACTTACCCTGAGACAAGTTCTAGTTTTGAGACCACAGTTCTAAAATGGATGTGAAGTGTGTGCAATATCCTCACAAGGAACAAAAAAACCCATTGTAATATGCTTAAAAAGAAAAGTGTGTTTCTTTGTTCACGATGTCTTAGCTCTGTGTGAAATAATTAATCATCTTTAATCACATTCATTAAGACAGTCATCAATTAATTAAAAAAGCCTGAAGGCAACATCATTTCAATTTAACATTTGATACAGTCAACCTTAAAATGAGGCAGGGATTATAAAATAGTTTTAACATCTGCCCGCGGTGCACACTGCACAGCAGCCGAATGGGAGTCAGTGTCACAGCTTTACTGTCCCTTCACTCACGTTAAAGTCCTCATGTGTTTCAGATCCCAGCTCCAATCAGTCTCAAGAGGAAGTGCTTGCCCTCAATGCAGCTGCCATCATAGCAAATATCAAACTCCAAAGACAACTTAGTACGAAAAAAAACCCAAGTGACAGTTGTGAGAAGGTTTCTGCTGCGTCACCCCAAGGAAATACAGGTATCATAACTTCTCTCCTCCCCTCATTGTAATCAGAATGTCTCACCTTATAAAACATTGATCTTTGTTACAATTAGCTGACAAGTTTGCAAGCTCAACACTTTGTTTTCAGAGCTACATCCTTCATAGAATCAATAACAGATCTAGTCAAAATGTCTCGGCTCTTCCATACTGTGAATATTTGATTTATACCATGAAGAAAATATGTCATGGCAGGCCCAGAGGGCTTCTGGGCCCAGAGGGCTTCTGGGCCCAGACATCGAAAGCCAAGGCACGTGTAAATGAAATGCAAATAATTAGATTTTCTTGTTTGTGATAGATGAAGGGAAATGTATGAAGCCACATCCAGATCAAAGAACAATCGGGCGCCACAACCAGCCCCATGCTGCATTTGTTTCACTGAGTCCTGACGCTGAAAAGTCACCTCAGACTATTTCTTTACAGGTAAGTTCAGATGTGTTTTTTAGCAAATAAAACGATTTGATTGGGACTTTAGTTCTCAAAAGAAGAATGTTATGTAATAGATATGACAGACAATTTGTGTATCCCTTTGGAACATTGCAATGTCTAAAGCCGCATTCACATGCTCTCTGGATTATCCCATGTGAAGTTGTTCTACTGACCTTGGTGTTCTATTATTATGATTTATCAATCGTTGCTCTGAGTATTTTAACAGTGAAGATTCATGATGCTATCCAAGTATGCTTCTTTTAGCTTAAATATGTCTTTACCTAACTTGTTTTTAGGTTAAATCCTAAGAAAAATAAATATTCTAGGTGTCTCTACCTTAATAGCAACTAACAGTTTCACACTCATTTCAAATGACAGATAAGCAAAAATAAAAAATATAAATTAGAGTGATTTAATAAAGACACATTTTAACTTTTGTCCAGCATGTTTCTACATAATATGACATGGCAAGTCACACCAAAATACTCCCCAAGTTTCCGAGAAGGTGGTGTTGGAGGAGGTGTTCATGTGAATTATCTCAGTCTGTAACTCACTTTTATAATTATTGTGACACAACTTGAATGCATCTTGTTTGTTACACAGGTTGAAATCAGTACAACCAAAGAGTCTTGAAAACATTGTGTTGTTTTTAAATCCCCATGCTGTTAATTATTTGACCGGTCAGATTGATCTCAACCCCCTTTGGGGATTTTGACCCTCAGGCTGAACAACAAGTAAAGTACACTTACTGTAGGTGTCAGCAAAAGGGAATGACACATTTTTACTGGCTTACTTACAAGGGGTGACCCAGAGCTATATTGCAGGGGCAGTTGGAGTGGGAAGTTGGGCTTAAGTGTTTTGTCAGAAAGACCAATATGTTTCTGGTCTTGGCAGAACGCACTGCAGAGGTCCAGACCGGACTTCATCAGTCGCTCCCAGGGAAGACTGCGAGAGCTGGAGCGACGGGCGCAGGAGAGGAGTGGGCTGGCAGGTTCTGAGGACCCTCGGTCAGACGCTGCTGTCGGGCAGAGGAGAGTCCGCAGTGGCCGCTGTACCTCTCTGAACGGTACAGCACCACCCTCACCTCACTCATCAGCTGCACTGCCCATTGTCATGCTGCAGCTGCCACATCATAATCACACACATACAGGCACACAACAAAGAGCAAGCCAATTCAGCCAGTATGTGTGGTTTTTAATGGTCCATATAGATAGATAGATAGATAGATAGATAGATAGATAGATAGATAGATAGATAGATAGATAGATAGATAGATAGATAGATAGATAGATAGATAGATAGATAGATAGATAGATAGATAGATAGATAGATAGATAGATGGATAGATAGATGGATAGATAGATAGATAGATAGATAGATAGATAGATAGATAGATAGATAGATAGATAGATAGATAGATAGATAGATAGATAGATTAGATTAGATTAGTACTTTATTGATCCCAAATTGGGAAATGTTTGCGTTGCAGTAGCATAAAAAGACAAGGCAATGTACAAAAGAGAAATTAAAACACTAGAAACAATCCAAAATATTTCTGAAATAGAAAGAAAATAGCATTAAAAAGTTAAAATATATACATGTGAAAATACAAATGTACAGTAACAAAATATAAAGCAGGATATTACATATACATTAATTGTGCAAGGAATGGATTATTAAATATGAAATTGAATATGTATGTAGAATGTACAGTGGGAGTTTAAGTCCAGTTATCAAGAGAAGCTATGGAGCAGAGAGTTCTCTGCCAGACAGAGGTGATTTGTTATATCAACATCTTTTGGATGTATATTGTGTATAGGTAACATTTTGCTTAATTATATACAACATACACATTCATTTTTGCTTTAAGAGTTGCTAAATCCACTACAACCCTCTTCTGTAACCCAAAAGAGTGAGTTATCAGTAGTTGATACACCACGACTACTCAATGACAACACCTCATTTCAATGTTGTACTATTAAGTGTAGCAATTATTTAACAGATATTGCATAGAAAAGCTTAATCAATTATAAAAAAATTGTAGAAAACATTATAAAAAAAACAATTTGTTATATTTGTGATTGATCACATAACCGGCCATTACATGAATAGTGTAAAAGGACATTTTCAGCTTAATATAAAGTTGAGTCTGTTTTTTTATGGGGAAAACTGAAGGAGAGAAAGAGCGAGAGAGCTGTGGCTAAATATAATAAAAGCCACTTTAAGTAAGATGTGAAACAAATAACTGTATTGCATATATATATGCAAGTCCTCCTCTATGAAATTACAAGGTTATAGCGTGATTTGATTTCAGCAAAAATATTTCCGTGACCTTCAAATTTCATTAAGCTCGCAGCGCAGTGTTATGTTTGGTGAGATTTCCATTCAGAGTGCCAAGCTTCACAGGCAACAATAAAGAGTGTAAAGATTTGTGACAGTGATTGTGTAGCTCTTACTGCACTCTAGTGGCCAAGACGGAAAATACACCAGTGGGCAATTATGACTGCTGGGAAAATGGGAGATTTCTAAATCACAATTTGTTCATGTAAAACTGATTTTGGAACCTCAACGTAATGAAATTATACTTTATAAAATATCCTGAGATGGTCCTCATTTAAACATGTCTTCTGTTAGTGTTGTGTGAGAGAGGAGGCTTTCAGTCTGTTCAACATCAGGAAAAGCTAGACTGTCATGCTCTTGAGCCTTCAACTCATCAGCACTGTGTGTGTGTGTGTGTGTGTGTGTGTGTGTGTGTGTGTGTGTGTGTGCGTGTGTGCGCGTGTGTGCGCGTATGTTCCCGTTTCCAGATAACCTTTTGAAACCCAGAGATAGAGCCATGACTGGGAGAGAGATGCAGCTGAGATCTAAGCGGTGAGTGTCTCCTCACCTCAGCACAATGTCTGATGCCTCTTCTTGTAAGAAGAGGCATCCTTATCTCTTGTATTCCTTTCATGTGTGAAGGAACGCAGAGCCTCTATCGTTGACATCTCCTTACAAAACATCCTCTGCCAAGACTTTTGCTCTACTTCTGTTTTGTATTTCCCTTCCTGCCTCACTTGTTTATTCGTTTTGCTTCATGGTATATACAACCATTAGGAAGTCGTTTTAGATTGAAGTGTTAGACTGTGGATTCATACATATGTTTTCTTTACTTGCAACTCCACCAACAATTATAAAAGGCACACATTTGTTATTTTGTTACAGAACGCAAGGAGAGGGGAAGAGAAAAAAAGAGGAAGAGAAGAAGAGAGAGGTGTGTTTGACAAACAGACAGCGAGTTGAGCTTTTCAAAAAGGTAATCTCTACAGTACATCTCTTTTACAAAACATTGATAAATAAAACCCATTAAACCTCAATAACCCGCTTCTTCGAACCCTCATCTATGTATGTTTATTTATTGTAAAGATGCCAGATATACATTTGGTGAATACGTGTATAAAACAATGCATCAAGATATTTGGAAAGTGTGTAGAATAAGATGATTTTCAAAAATGTAGGTAAGGAATTTTTTTTGTATTAATGGGTGTAACAGATCTAGATGAACTGCATTATTTTAAACAGACTAAGTGTTATGTTCTCTTAGTATTTGAAGCACCAGGCTTGCCTATGATGAACTCCCTGAGGTTTTTATCAAAAGATGTATGCAGAAATGATGCACTGAATTCCATTAAAACATGTTAATAAGCATGTTACCTCCAAACTGTTCGCGCTGTGTTAACAACTTGCCGGGGACATTGAACAGAACATTAGGTAGGCAGTTAAACAAGTAATAAAACACCTTTTCCCTACAAGCTCAATTAAATCTGGCAAAAGGTGATTTTTTTTTAGTAATGGCCAAAGTGTTTTCCCCTTTCCTTTCTTTACAGCAATGCAGCTGTGAAAAATGATGGCTTTAAATTGCTTAGCAAGTCCATCATACCTGGAAAGAGTGGCACATGAAATATATTTGTAACCATAGAAACCCAATGAACAGGAGGTAAATTCGATGTATAACGCATTTCAGGATATTCATCTGTTGGAGGGGGACATGTTGGCCTTATGGATTTACAAGTGCATTCATAATAAGATACAATATCTGACAAAATGATGAGCGATAAGGGCATTTTCCGCTTTAAAAGTGATATGATAAGTACAATTGTATTGTGCACACATTAGATTGGGGAACTTGTTATACAGTTTATATGATATGTAATATTTTATCTTTGTTTTGCTGAAAAAAAGTTAATAAGGGATGCAACACCAGGAATAAAATGTCAATGCCAATTGTGCTTATTTCTAAAAAGGGTCACATTGAATTGAATATTTATTCCTTTGAGGGATTTCTTATTGACACTGAATTTGCTTTGAGAACAATGACCTTATTAGTCCACTAGATGTCGCTGTTGCCATACTTTTGCAATTTTCTTGCATTTCTCCGAGTAGTTTGATTAGAAAAGTTGATTATAAAAGGAAAAAGACTTCCTATGCATCTGAAATGGCTGTTATTCCTTGATTTCCATGAATCAGTGAATATCACCCAGGACAGTTTTCATTGCTGTAGGTATTGTAGCTGCTCTCTTAAAACACTCTATACACCCTTCTCTCATTATGGAGAGAAACGGTGAACAGTGTCATTGTGCTGAGTGTATGAGGCCTGTGTTCAGTGTGAAACAAAAGGCCCTTCAGTGGCAGAGAGCGCTACAGTGCAGTGCCACCATTCAGCAGAGCTGCACCCACATGCAGCTGCTCCACCCTCACTGCTGCTACAGCAGATAACACCGGGAAGAGGGGCAGTGCCAGAGATCAAGCAGGGTCCTGAAAAAAAGAGTGGAAACCTGAGTGTGTGGATGACAAGACAGTAGGCTTCAAAAATGTTCCAGTGCCTTCTCAAAAAAGCCACATGTTTTTTGTGAGGACAGGAGTGGTGCTCAATAGCCACCAAGTGTTTTAACAATTTGATTTCTTTGTTTTCTTATTACAGAAACTGTTGGATCAGATTCTTCAAAGGAGCAACAGCTGAAAGACGATGAAGAGATGATGTGACAAAGCCTGTAGCATTGCATGGCAGACTGATGAAGTGACCTTTGCCCTTTGACGGTGCTGAACATAATATGATGTCCTTTTGGCCCTCGTTTGTTTCTCTCATGTATCATCATTATTCAAGTAACAGAGTTTAACATCTGTTTTTTTCTATACGATACAGCTAAGGCAATCTTTCCGAATGTCCAGACAGTCATTTAACATCGCTTAGTGTACCTCCGCTTTGAAGGTTTTTCCAGAATTCTTCTTCACATCTGGACAAAAAACATATAATATTCTGATGTGTTGTACAAATCCAGCCAGAAGATAATGATGTCCTTCTTAAAAATAGCATTTCAAGACAGGGTAGATTTATAGACAGGATTATCTGACGCTTTAAGGATCTTGAAAATCCCAAAAAAGCACTATGTGTTGTTTAAAGACCTTCTGTTTTTTTTTTAAACATTGCCATAGATCTGTCTTTTTAGGAAAACATATGCTTTACCCTGTGCATCAGCTGTTTTAAAAGCCCTTGTGGTATGCAATTACAAATGAAGATGGCAAAAGGAATGTATGAAGTCCTGTCCTAACATTCTGTTTTGGTTAAATACCACATTGAGCCTCATAAACGCACCGACTGATTTGCTTTTGACAAAAAACATTCATGTCTGCTGTTTATCGCTGTTATCTTGTTTTCACTTGATTGCAAATTGCCTTTCTTTCCAGAATACTTCAAGTAATGGGATTCAGAGTAAGCACTGATGTCCTCAGACAACCACTTTCACATGATCTCATGTGATGTGGAGCAGTGATCAGAAACATTCATTATGCTTCTCAGTCCCTTCCAGGACACTCTTTAACCGTCATCCTCATTATACAGCAAATATGAAGCCTGAAGGGTGCTCTGCTATTATCCAGTGCCAGCTATGAGCTGTAAGACGGAGGAATGTGACCTCTTCTCACTGGAAATGCCCTGTTAATGGACAGTGCAGATTTGAATAGAGCTTTTGTCCCTGTCTTTAGTCTCATGATGGACTAAAAAGCGCCATTTTGCAGATTTAAAATGTGAGCGATCCAAAGTGAGAGTGCTAAACAACATTATGGAGCTGGGTATAAATCAAAAGTGAGATATGTGAATATTTATTTTAAAAATAACAGACGCTCTTCATTATTCCTAATAGTTTTTTTCCTCATTAGCCTTTAAGTCAGAGATCCTTCATAGTCCAGCTGTTTCATCCATCTACATTTGCACTGATGTATTGGAAGAGAACGATGATCACTACAGTTTTTAGTGAATCCTATTCCATGTGGGTGTTTTGGATGAGAGGGGATCATTTATAACAGCACTCATAGTTCATAATTGTTCCTGTCTTTCGAAATGAGTAATTTTAGACTAGAATAAGACGTCTATGAACCATGACTGCTGCTTGGAGAAACAATTTACTGTGTGTTGTTTTGCTATTTAACTTAAAGTGGACCTATCATGCTATATTTGAATAATATAGTGTAGGACCATACCTATATAAGGCATATTTATACTTTTTTTTTTTTTAAATACCAAACAGATCATGCATTTTAGCCATGCCTCATTTCGCTCAATTTAAAAAAAAATTGCTCTGTTTTTGCAAGGGCTGATTCTGTGAGAACAGCACCACCTACAGGCCTGGCATATGTACTACAGCGTCTCCAGGGCTTTCGAACAGCAATGGCCGTGGCTGTCTCCTCCTGATTGGTGGAGTTGGCCCAATAGCCGTAGCGCCACTCTCCTGACATCAGGACAGTGTTCAAATCTGGATCAGTTTTTATCAGATCCGTTGCAGCCCCTTTTTTAGAGATTTGGGTATGGAGGAAAATAGAGAGGGTTGTGTTTTCTGAGACTTGGTGAGTTCCCTGGAACACTGGGGACACATATTCATGTATACAAGACGTACAAAAGTGCATTTTGCATGATAGGTCCCCTTTAACAAAGACACTTTCACTATGCAATGTCATTGTTTAAACATCAACTTAAGGTATGCTATATTGGAATTGAGTTATATGTTTTCTTTTATATATTTGAGTTTTCTTTTTACATGTTGTTTATTTGTATTCCAAACAAGACTATAAATGTTTTTCCAGGAATAAAAAGTTCTGTTTTTTCCCCAAAGTGCATTGACATAATAACAAAGATTAGATGGAATCATTTCCATGAAGTTAGGATTTATTATTCACTATTATCTGTCTTTGCACACTAACAGAAATCCCTATTTTACTGCCTGCGTCTTATCTTCGTTCAGGCATCCTGGTTCTTAAAAAGAGCAAAAGATCAGCTCTTATTATCAGCCTATAGCCGAGAGTTGGGTTCCAGTCAAATCAGCATGCAGGGAAATACTCCTCAGTTTGGTTTTATTTCGATTCATATTCAATCCTGAAAGAAGACTTTGAGAAATGGAGGTTTCTGAGAGTAATGACACGAGGCTGCACCCCGTAGTTCCTATTTCAAAAGGTGAAAGCCAACAATTGGATGTACTGCTGTGACTTTACCTTACATCGAGCATACCAGAGTTCTCCCCTGTTGGGAGGGAAAAAGCTTTCAGGAACTCATCCCCATGTGGACACCTGCCTGTTTTCTGACTGCATTCCCTCTTGAAGTGAATGTCTATGGTGGACGGCCATAGTGTCTGAATTGGCCGTGTCCATATGTAGAATCCTTCAGTGCATCTCAGTGCCTTGATAACAAGTATCTGGCTGTGAGTCTCATGAATATATTTGAGTCAGATATCTTAAAATGTAAATATATTCAAAGTCATACAACAGACAGATTATGCTTAGCTTACTCTGACTCAACAACAAAATGTATGCACAACAACAGTGAGTAACATTTGTGAGTGGGGGCTGTGTAGGCCACATTATTCAAATGTACACTCAGTGTGGGCTGCTTCAGCATGTGTGGGACTATCAGCACATTGGGTCAAGTTAAGTAGTGGATACCAAGAGACAGGCCGGAAATTAAGTGGTTTGCTTTCAAAATAAAATGCTGGTTTCACACTCGCTTCTGCAACCTTCAGATAATTGTGGCACATGGGTTAAAGGAATTCCTATTTTTTTACTAAAATGATATTGACTCAAGGTCCACTTATTTGCTTATTTGGGATATCCACTTACAAGTTGTGACAATGCAAGGTTCTTTTTCCCTGACCAAACATAATGTGTTCAATCTTTCAATTTGCAATAATATGAATTTAAAAAAAGCATTAAATCCTCAGTTTTATGAAAAAAAATATATATAAAGAATATATTTGACTCTAAATATTTAAGTGAAGGAAAATAAAAACTACAGAAATGAGAACCACGTAGTCAAACGGGCAAAAGTATAACTTCATCATTTTTATTTTGTCAAACTCTAACTGTAAAGTCATACTCTTTCATACTACAAAATTAAACTTTAAACACTTTCATTTAAGTACATTTATCTTAGGTTTTTCTAATTTGTATCGTACAAACATAGTTTAAAAGATGTGTAATGTGGCGTCTTTATTGTGAAAGGTTGGACCGGATGTTGCTGTTTGTTTATTCGGTTAGCTTCACACTGCTCTTGCTCGATGATTAATAATAGGTGCGGCAGCTGGCTCTAGGACCTGGCGGAGCGATTCATGAAGCACATGGTCCCTACTCATAAGACAACACTTCTCGCCAGTAATTGCCTTGCAATTTATGTCATTTCAGTGGGCGTCTGATACAGCAGCGGCTTGTGTATTTGTTAACATTTATCCCCGGTCGCTCTTCAATTCCCCTTACATTTCATACTTTTTCGCGGCTGCTTTTTGACTTGGACGTTTGTGAATGGGAGTTGAATCAGCTGTCCTCGGGATTTCCTAAAACACCGCTCATTTACTTGATCATATTTCAGGAAGTGGGTTTTATTTTGGGGGGGTTGCTCTTGCACATCAGCTGTTGTTGGATTGTATGATGGTTGCTCTGCAGTGAACCAGTTGACCAGTCCCGTCCACGCTTCAGCCGGGCATCATGAACCTCTGGAGTCTGAAGTTTGTTATTCTGACAGCACTTCAGGCTTTATCTGTCGCTTTGTGTGACAGCGTGCTCTCCACATCTGCTGAAGGTAAGAGGCGAGGATGTAGTTTTCCTTTCCTATTATAGGCTTTCAAAGATCTATGTGCAAATTGATTGTATTCTTAATTGATTTTTCTCACTTTGTGATTGTCAATACAAAAAAGAAGAAGTGTTTTCACGTGGAAACGTCATAGAACGATATTATATATACCTAGTAATGAACTTCTGCATTTGTCATTGCGTGCATTCTGCAGTGTCTTTTCTCTTCTATTCTTCATTCATTCTCCCCTTTGGCTGTTTTTGGTGTATCATGTTTTATGAAAGCCTGTGTTAGTACAGCAGACTTACAGATCCATAACACATGTTTGGGCAGAGTCAAACATCCCCAGTGTAAACAAGCTTTCTAAATTCATGGCTTTCTCTCATTCTCTCCATAGATCTCTCTGTGTGAAAGGCATAACATCATTTCTTTTTTAGCTCGCAGTCCATCCAGTGTGTGCACCTCAGAGGAGAAGACACGCTGTATAATTGATGATGCTGAAACTCTCTTTGGTAATCAGGGGTAGCACTTGAGGCGTTACGCTGGTGCTTTAAGCATACTTCAGTTTTTCAAGGCACTTCAAACATACTTCAAATGTTCAATTATGGACAAATTCCAGGATTACTTTAGTGCCAAATACAGAAACCAAAAATCCACAATGTTCGTTTGAATTTAAGAAGTGAAGTAGCTTTTTAGGAGCCCGTAAATTGCAACTGATTTATTATGTTTGTGACATCCCAGCAAACAAATGAAAAATAGCTGCTTGAGAGCCTTGGGGAAATGTCTATATCTGCAGCAGTGTGTGTTTGTGTCTATTCTTGTGTGTCTCACACTGGGATTGCACCCCTTTGGGCTGTAGCTCATGACATCTCCATCACGTGGCCCATGCCCTATAGGTGAGATTCAACAAGAACACTACACAGTGGGCTATGATCAACAGCTTGAGCATTCGCATACAGAATACTTTTTACATCTGCCTGTCACGACACTCACTGTTGAATCATGGGAATTAATTACCAGCCAGGGCAAATGTGTAAAACTGGGATCAAAGAGTGAGGAAGTTGTTAATTTATTCATCAACAGTTCGTCGTCCTCAGACGGTTGGCCTTGATGGGTTTGTTCTCGTTAGGGCTGTGCAATTAATCGTATTTTAATCGCAATTACGATTTTGGCCTGCCACAATTACGAAAACAACATAATCGAAAAAAACAATTATTTAGCTTTGCTAGGTTGAGACAGTGCAACATATTTGATCTCATTTATTTTGGTCTCATTTATTTGTATTTATCATATTTATATATGTTTAGTAGCTTGTGGAAGTGCGCTCCAAAATATTTGTTGATCTTGTTTATTGGTATTTATTATTTTGATATTATTTATTTAAATGTATCATTTATTTTTGTATTGGTTTTTCAGTTTAATTATATGTTCAGGGTAATCAACAGTTAAAAAGATACTGTTCAAATTATTATTTGTATTTGTTTTAAATTTCAATAAATGGATTTTTTCAAAGTCAATGAATAATCGTATTTAATAATCGTGATATCAATTATTGACCCAAATGATCGTGATTATGATTTTTGCCATAATCGCACAGCCCTAGTTCTCGTGGGTTCAGGCTCCTTAAACATCATCATCGCCAGTTCAGTTGTGTGTGTGTCTGGGAAAGTCTGAGCCCATCTTTATTGGCAGGATATCATCTTGCTTGGGGGTAATCTGGACTGATTGAGATAAATGGATGGAGGGGGTGGTGTGAACAGGTGCACAGGAGATGGGATTCTGTTTAACTGACAAAAAGAATCAAAATGTGCGGGGCTATGCATGACTATTTCTAAGTGATGAAACCACTGGTCAATGTTCAAAAATGTAATCAGCAGCTATAGAGTTGGGCCATTATGTTCTACTACAATGTGGGTAACTTCATATCTTCATAATGAACATAACGGTTTTAAGTGAGCTTAGCCTATATCACAATAGAAACAATGAAGAAAAATATATATGACATACATTTTAAAAATAACTTTTACATATGCAGTACAGGGCTTGGCCTTCATTTTTTAATTATTTAGACCTACTATGACAAAATTATTGTTCGATTGTTGAAAAAAATCCGTTTCAGCTTACTTCATGTTAAGCATATTGAGTGGGAATCATTAGTTCTTTTTTTTGTGCAAGTTTTTACTTTGTCCAGACTGTGCTGACTTTGACATTGCTGTCAAGAATTCAAGGCTGCTAAAAAAGAGGGAGTAGTTAGGCTCCATGCAATGTCATGTTTGCATATATATTTCATGACACCGCCCCCAGAGCTTTCTTGTCAGTTCTCCTTTCCCTGTCTGTCTTGTGGACGTTTCTGTTCTACCTAGGGATCCCTAGTGAATGACTTCCACCGATGGTTGACACACTTTAGTGTCAGCCAGTATTTACTAGCCAGCTGTACTGCTATAACCAACATGACTCTGTCTGCCTGGAGCTCTGCATGCAGCTTGCGTGCTGCATGCTCAGACAAATGAAAGTTGAGCTGAGAATATATTTTTGGACTGTAGTAAAACATTCCTAAAGCAAACCATGTCCTCCCCAGAGAGACATTATCACTTGAGGTGACCCATCTGAAGTCAGAGCTAGTCAGATGCGTTTTGTATCTTTTCAGTTTGAACGGATTCAGATCTAATAAATGAGTTGCTTAGGATAATAGTTGAAACCCACAGGGCCGGTAAGGAGACTTGGCTCATGTGTGGATGTGAATTAAAACAGACTGATCAACCAGTTGCTGATCCGCAGTGGGGATATTTATATATGGTGAAGGGGAAATAGCTGGACAGAACTCATGTGGCCAAACCCTATTATGTTGTATTAATTTCTTCGAAGTTGCTTTGGACTTATTTGACCCTTTTCCCCCTGACCAAGCTCAACACACAAGCTGAAACCCGATGCTGGCTCTGGACTTTCTCATTGGACTTTCACACCCAGTAAGGTCAGAGTTGAGCTCAGCACAGCTCTCCCCAAGCGTCTTCTCTTGTCTCTTCGGAGAATTCAGTTGGCTCAGATACCTCCTGTGAGTGTCAAATCTATCTGGGTAAATTCAAGTTACACCCTATCAGTGTTTACGCACCAAAAATGACAGTTTATAAGCCGGTTCGGGTCAGTTCTTGTGTTCTGTTTTGCAGCACTTTAAGGTGGAGCATAATGAATAACATATGCTATATAATGTCAGATAGCTCTTTCTCTGGCCACAATAATAACTAACAACTGCATATCCTGTAGATTAGCAGATTTTGCTAGTCTGCATTCTGGTCTGGAATGGTTTAGGCAACTGTTACACTTTGGGCATCTTGGTAGCTAACTTTGTCTGTGCTGCTCAGCGCTAAAACAACAGCTAACGTTATGTCTATTACTTGAAACGCAATTGAGTGAGACTGAGAAAGTCAATGTGCCTTAAAATATAATAATGAGGTTAAAGGCTTTGGCAATCTCTGTGAGGTAATCTCTGTAAACACATTCAGCAGTCATTTGGTACATTATTTGTAAATTATTATTGTTAAGTGGAGCCTTAATGCTGCTGAATTACCAAGTAGTGTAAATGGGTTTACATTGTACAAATGGGTAATGGCTGATTTCAATTTTACAGTAATTCTGGCAAACAAAGTTAAAACATTTTGTTTTTATTGTCTATTTACCCCTTTTTGCCTGTTTTTATTTGATAAATATCCATGTAGTTTTATATCACCTTTTTGTTTTTTAACTAACAGGAAACTAAGATTGTGCTTCTCATGTTGTCCTTGTTAATTTATTTGTTTTTCCAACTTGAAAATCAAATTTTTATAATCCTGCCAAAGCAGTGAATAGGAATCAAAAACAGGCATCAATTGCAATTCCAGATGAACATAAAAAAAAAAATTCCCCAGTTTGACTTGATTCCACGTGAAAGCCAAGTCATTGTCTTTCACTTTTCCACATCATCCATCTTTCAGCCTGGCAAACAGCATCTGCCCTGATTTCACCATATTCTTTAATGAGAGAGAAAAGCAGGGATAAGACAGGTTACCTCCCTTCTGGGTAGGATTCCAACACATTAGTCCAAGAACTCTGCTCCAACCGTTTGCTTTGTCTGTCTGAGTTATGTTCCACAGGCAGACCTGTGATGTATTTTAAGGTGAGTCAGTAAGCGCACATAGAATAGTTACATGAAGACAAAGGTTTCAAGGTCATAATACATGACCAGTCCAAGATTGCTAAAATTGTTCAGGTTTTCAAAGACCAAGTGGAAATATCAAGTCTTGTTTTATATTGCAATATCCAGACCACAAGTTGTTTTTCTCCAGAGATTTTTAGCTGACCAGCAGTCTAAAAAAACATATAAATTTAATTTAAATCAAATCAAATATTGCTCCTGTATGACTTGAATGAATAGAAATGTAATTAGCGTTGCATAACTATCTGAAGATCAAGTAATGGCAAAAATCACATGTGTCAGCTTCAGAATGATATCAATCTTTGTTGTTGTTATCCTATGAGACTTTTAAATAGACTGTCTCCACTGTCTTAATGAGATGGTTGCCTCCACATACTGTACAATTGTTTGAGGATCGACTTTATGATGATATGTACCCCATTTTCTCTTTGTCTTTTTTGCTGTTGCCTAATGTTTGTTTTCTTTCCGATTTTTTGTGGTTTAATTGTGTGCCAGACATTGGCTTCCCATGACGCTGTAAATGAAATCCATCTTAGGGACCATATTAACAAGCTTTCATACGGCTCTGCTCCAGAAGCTCTCTGTGACTCTGACCTTTGTTGCTGAGGCACACAGGCTCCATGCTGGGCAGCAAGCATAGCCCCTCTCAGCAGGCGAAGCGTAACAGTTTCACCCGCCGGGGGCGTAACGGCACAGGTTCCTCGGACAACATTAACCTCCTGCTGAGCCAAGGGGAATTTGCTGCAGGACCATCTATTTCCCATCAAGTAATTATGTGCTGACATCATGCTAGTGTGACAGTAAATGAATTCAGTGTACA